GATTCCATTGTCAGGTCTGTTCTGCTAAATCTGTTCCGCTGATAATTGGACGCACGAGCAGAGTGAGACAGTGATATAAGATGTTAGCTCATGTGGCTTTGGGGTATAATTTGGTGAGCTAGGGGCACATTGAGGGGGCCTCAGCCGTGCAAGTACCACAGCCGGAAAGCATGTCATGAGAGTTTTCAAAGTTTTGTACCAGGGGGATAGGTAAGCTGGACATAGAACTTCGGTGTGTGTGGTTTACGGAAAGTTGGGAGCCCCGAGTATGCAACATTCCCGAGGCCCTTCCAGCTGGCACAGATATTGCCAGCAGAGCAGTAGACAGGAGAGGGCATAGTTTTACAACCCAGTGGAGCAGGGAGGGAACCCATTTGGGGGTTGAGCAAATATGTTATGGAATCTTTGTGCAGGACTGTTGGGACGTAATGCGCAACCAGAATGGGTAATGCTCCGGGCCTCTGGGCACCGATTGTGGGCCGCGCGTGTGGGCTAGCCTTTTCGGGCTCTGCGTAACCCAGCGAAGAAGAAGAGATAGAGATAAGAGACGGGAAAAGGGATAGCCCAATGGAGAAGGGAGGAAATTCATTCCAGGATGGAACGTACACACATGGGCCGATGTAGGTGCTGATATGTGCCCTGTAGCTGATGTTCCATTCCAATGGATGGTACTCCGGGCCTCCTGGGGCGCGGGTTTGCAATCACTTCGGCTCAAGTCTTCCCCGCCGTCCCCTTTGAGGGACTTCGGTTTTCTGTGCTCCTGCCAAGAGTGGGCGTGCAGGGTTGGCTTGAACTCAAACCAATCCACACTGCAGGGAGAGGTGTGTCCGTGATCCTTCAGGGCGGGCTGCGTAGGGAAGTTGCGAAAACTTTCAAAGCCAGTGAATGACGGGAAAGCAAAACTGGAACAGGAAAGAGCTGATGAACCCGAAGTCTGCCTCGCGTGCAGCGCGCAGTGGCTGATAAAGACGTCGCGCGCGCGCGCTGTGCTCCACGTACATCCGCTTGGCAATAAAGGAAGAGATGATTACGGCAGTGAGGGGAGCGAAACAGGAAGGGAGAAACTGCTACAAGATCTTGGCTGTTAGGGAGCTATCGATTGCAACTGGGAGTGGATCTTCCAAAGGGAGGAAAGCCATGTCGCAAAAGAAAACAGCAGCCATCCGCAGCGGCAACCGCAAAAAGTTCCACCTGTGCTTCCAGCTCCTCCACAACATCCGCTCCAGCCGATGCAGCCAGTAAGGAGTGCCACGCTTTTGCGCAGACGAACCTCCGTCGCTGGGCAAGAACTACCCAAAAGTCAGGGAGGGGTCAAGTTGAGGGCGTGGATAGTCCAGATTCAGTGGACGTTATGTTATACTGGAAAGCACCAGCAAACAAATAAGCGGCAATCTGCTAGGGACTCGATGTCGAGCCCCAGCGAGCGTTAACGTGGACTTGCAGCAGGGTTTTGACAAGTTGGTTTGGAAAGCGTTGAAGAGCAAAACGCGCAGAGGGAAGAAGAAGATGGGGGGTGGGAAGGCGTGTTTACATTGGTCATGTCCGTGTTGGAGCAGCAGGTGGATACTGGGTTGAGCCCTGGCGAGCTGGCGAGATCCCTTCGGGGCCTTCGGGGACGCGCGAAGCGTGTAGAAGAAGAATGAGATCCTTCTCACAGGGGTTGCGCAGCCCGTAGATGAAGAAACAAGACAAACACAAAAATATGTGTATTTTCTACTTTGGATCCACGGATCGCCCAGTGTCCCATGCGCGACGCTTGAAAGACGGGCCCTTTGGACCCGGAAGTCCGATGGTTTCAGCGTGTAGGCCTAAGTAAAACCTACAGTGGGCTTTCGTTGCAGAGAGCTGCCAAACAAGAAATCTGGCTAATTAATTCTGTTAAGAGCAAAACTAGACTGGACATATTCCAGCGTTCCGCGCACCCTTCTTTGGAATTAGGTTAATGCAAATAAAGCCGGAACCCTCAAAAGCGGAAGTCCACTCCGTCAAAGAGGCCAGATTTTGGGATAGAGCACGAGCATAATGCCATCAATCCTGCAAGTAAACAGCAATGGACCTCCACAGCAAGCAGGCCATACAATGACGTGCCACAACGCACGAGTTGCCTCATCGACCTATCACGCGGCAGGCCCGCCTTCACGGCGCTGCCATCGAGGTTTATTGGAGCGGGAGCAAACAGTCGGGAGCGAACTTCGCCACACACACACGAGGATGAAAACACGGCAGGCAAATGAGCATGCTCGTTCGCGCAGCGCAAGCTTCGCTGGACGCACCAACAGACGAAGCTGAAAGGTGCCAGTCAGCTCTCAAAGTCTCAACCCTCATGTTGGCTCATCAGATGTAGCCAAGTACTAGCAAAGAGCGACGGAGCTCATGGTGACTGGAACCCCCACACCACCCAGCAAAAATGAAAGACATGCAGGCAAATCAACATCTTATCGGGGCCGGCGTCCGAGCGCAGCTCCAGATCCCTTCGTTCAGCAGGGTGACTGCCCAGCGAGGTACGGGATGTTATGGAACCAGTGTTTTGGGCATCGTAACTGCCAGCAGCATGCCCATTAGTCCATCATCCTGTTGTACCCTCCTAGGGGGATGTTGGCAAGTGGCAGCTGCCTTAACAGACACACCAAAAGTGCATTGCCAAACACAAAGCCCAAGCTTGTGAAACATTTCCATGCTGAAGAAGAACGACCGCCAGAAGAGCTGATACTGCACTGCATGCTTTTCGCCAGATACCGAAGAGCCTCGCAAGTCATCTTCAAGTGTCGGTGCCCAAAGGGGCCGAGGCAGCTGGCAGTCAGAATCATCCCCAACAAAAATGGCAAGACCGTGCAAGCAGCGAATGCCCAGCTAGTAAGGCTGGTTGGAGCCGTGGTGCTTAAGAAAAAGCGGGAGAGACAGCAACAGAGACAGAGAGGGAGAAAGAGGGGATTCTTCTTGTGAGAGGAGCTTGTGGCTTTTCAAAACACAAACCAAGGGCCAGGACATGTCTAGCCTGATGGAGCTGGTTGGACAAGCGGGTAGTCGTTCTCAAAGCCTCGTAAACACTTGGGAGTTGGAACAAACCTCAGATGGATGCTGCGTGCTGGATTGGCTATTTTACGAGAAGGGAGAACTGAATTCCACGTCAACTTGGGCCCAACTTTGCCAAGGTAAGTACGCACCTGAAGGCCAGAAAACGTACCAGCGCTGCTGGCTCTCCGCAATATGGGCATGCAACAGATGACTTGGTCTGTCACGTGATGCGCTAGTTTTTTTTCTGGGAATCAGCGACAGCTTGCCACTCGGTTTTTTGGCTTGCGTGGTTGGACAGGCCTCTTCTGGCAGAACATGGCGGTCACGCCGTCAGAAAGGAGCAGCAAGATCGGTATGGCTGTGCTGGTGCCCCGCTTCGCCTAATATGAAAATGAGCTGTATTCTGAGACGTGCTTAATCGAGGCTCTGCGTGCTTAATCGAGGCTCTGGTGGCATCCTGTGCTGTGTGGACCTTCGTGCTCTACATCCCCTACGCGTGCCTTTGCTTGGACTTCCCGCAAGACCCTTTGGCCAATATAGCGTAGCTCCTGTGCCTCTAGTGTCCGTGCTTCGCGATGTACAATCTCAGCCTAGCTTGCAATGCATGGAGTTGAACAGACTTGGGACAGTACTTCCGTCGGAGCCAACTGTCGAAGGCACCACGCAAAAATTTTCTTGTGTGGCGAGCAAACCGCCTCACCTTTGCCCGACTAAGGTTTTACATGGCGTCCTTCTCTTACGCAAATGGTGATGAGCCAGGTGAGTTTTCGGAAGGCCTCTTTATTTGCAGCCTGGCTGGCAGATTTAAAACACAGGTTGCGGCAGCCTTTGGGCCAAGCAGACGCATGATGGCGCATGGGTAGAGAGGCAGTCGGTGGCTCTGAAATAGATGTTGAGCCTCAGGTCTTGTCGTCGGCTCGCAGCTTGGGCTATTCGTTGTAAGCTCGATGGGCTACCGACTCAGAAGTTACTGCATGCTGACGTAGCCGGGTCGTGCCTTTCCGAGCAAAATGTGTGAGCTACTCAGGTGCCAAACACGCCGCGTTCCAAAGCGAGGACGAGACGCAGAAGGCAGGACCAAATGCATTCACATTGCGAAGTCAAGCTCCATTTGTTCTCTGACTGTTCACTGCTGCAGTGGCCCCCACCTGTGGCAAGGCCTACACGATGTTTTACAACGCAGCATTGCATCTTTGTTGCAGAGCAGATATAGTAGCGTTTCTGATGCAATAGGATCGTGTCGCGTGCTTCAGTCAGCGTGCTTGTCAGGATCTTGAACCTCATCATGGACATCGCGCTCCAGACCTATCTAAGTCTTCTGTTGGCACCTGGTGTAACATCAATGTGCTGACCATGCTGTGGATGCCGAAAGGTTATCTTCAAATGGTCGGAGTCGGGGCCCACACGTCGGATGGGCGCCTGCTAGGAAGCCTAGACTCCTGGAGTTAAGAAGTGAGCTCTGATGCGTTTACAATGTCAAAGCACGTAAGCTGCCCGCTTAGCTGGCGTTGCAGTCTATGCTGCATTGGTTCTGAGGACAGCCTGCAGGAGATTTTTGAGTCTTATCCGGTCCAGAAGTCGGTGGGCAATCTCCTCTTCGTGCAACTTGGCATAGTTTTTCTGAAGCTAGACGAGCTCAGATGTGTTTGAGCGCACAACTAAGGTACTGTTGGCCCTGTACATTCTTTGTCCCTTTCCTGGCAGAGCCCTTCGCAGTACAGTGGCTGCCACGGCACATTGGGCAGCACCTTGCCGGCATTTGGAGCCATTGCATTTTGCGGGGCCTGGTTTTGCTGCGCAAAACCAAGGTACATTGTAGGGGCAAAGAAGAAGATCCAGGGGGAGAATGCTGAAAAGGCAGAAGACTAGAAGAGTGTTGGCCGGGGCGGAGCTGGGCGGAGCTGGGCGGGTGTAAAGTGTAAAGCACAGGCCTTGGAGCTGGGGGAGATGGAACAAGGTCGTTACGCAGACACTTGGAGGCAGAGGCCAAAAGACTTCAGCGATGCTTTGCATGCTTTGCATGCTTTGCATTGGTCCTGCAGTAAGGATTGCATTTTCAACGTGATCCTGCTCGCTTGCATTCCTTTCATTGCACCAGCCTATCTTGCCATGACGCTGGCCGCGCTGCTCGCTGAGAGCAACAAGTAAATCCTTGGGAAGAGAAGCGGGTAGGCCGTAGGCCTGTACCGTCTCGAATGTACATCCGAGGCTGATATTCTCCCATGCATACCTTTATATCTACGACCAGGTAAAGGTGGCTCTGCTTTCTTGGCAAGACCGTGTGAGCTTGCCGGAAAAACCCATGACTTGTCCGTGATGGGTTCGTGTACCTGGTCGAGCATGTGGGCAGGTGTTGCGTTACGTCCGTAAGTTCAACTTCAGTGACCCCGAGGCCAGACCCCAGCAGTCTTCTTTTGAGTGTGCAGTATAAACCTCACACCACCAGCAAGGCAGCAAAATTGAGTGGATGGCGCAGTTTGCACCAGCCAGGCTTTTCTGAATCACAGACCTTGTTTGCAGGCACATTGGCTGGGCATGCAGTTGTTTGCCATTCCTTGCAGCATTTTGGCCAGCGCACTGGTTTTCAAGGCCCCTGCAGCTAAGTGCCTTTCCTTAAGCTGAGTAATTCTGCCCCACTGGCAGAGGCAAACCAGATGTCCAGCGGTTCCGATGTCCTGGGTTCTGGCTACCTGCAGGCTTCCTTTGTGAGGGGAGACAAAAGTGAATTACAAAAAATCTGTTTTTTAATGCCTTCACCGAGGGTACTTCGCTGCTGGTGGCTGTGGTCGGGGCAGCTGTGCTTCACTTCCTAGTGCACCTCGCAGTCTTGGAACTGGTGCCTGGGCTCAAAGACAAAGCTGTGAACGCACTCCGCAGCTTTCCAACGCCCGGAAGGTGGTGAAACCGATGGGCGAGGACAGCACTGCAAGCAGACGCTTTAGGTGTCTGCCAGACCGGCGTCGTGTAGCTTTTCCTGGGGAGTCTAGTGCAATAGCTTGGGACGGATACTGTAGACTGTAGACGTTTTCTTGGAATTTCTTTAGCAGCCTTGGCACCTTCCTTTCTTTGGGGGTCCTGCCTCACTGAGCATGCTGCATTCACAATTTCACAATGTTCAGCCTTAAATTGGCACATCGGCAGGCAGCACAAGGATAGCCACACCAAGTTTGACTACCTTGAAGTGCTAGTTCGCAGAAGCGCCCGACGGATGCAGGAACATGAAACTATAGGCACCCAGCCTTGTAGGCAAGCGAAGATAAAACATTGGACTTTGCATCCAGATACCTAGTAAAACGGGTCCACCAAGGTTTCTCGGCATGCTACACAGAGGAAGGTAGGGGCAAGCGTGCGGCCAGGAAAACGACTTGAAGTCATCAACGCTCTACGCGGAGGCTGCTCGCGAGTGCCCAGCTACGTACTTCTCTACCAATCCTGTTTACTGCCGCTGGTCAGCATTAAACTTGTGCTCGCCCTGTCGGGAATGAGTGGATGAACTCTTGCTTCCGAGCTGCCTGAGCTACCGCCATTTCCTTCGGGCAGCTCAATGGAGTCTTCTACTTGTAGCACAAGCTGTTCGTCCTGCCTGGTCGCAACACGAGGCCTTCGGTCGAAGTACACTTTGGCAGGGCGCTCAGGGCAGACGTTTCTGCATTGCGCACCATGTGCTGCTGGTTCATGCCAACCAATTTCAAGCGTGCATGCTTTCAGGGCCACAGTCCCCCACAGGCAGGGTGACAATGTGAATGTGAGCAGAGTGCCATCGCATACTGTATGGAACACTTTTTTCGCGGCTGGCGCCTGACATGGCATGGTATTGCCAGGTCATGTATTGCCCGGGGAAGGAGCACACCATGAAGCCAAACCCGACGTGCCCTGACTGCGTAGTTGCATTTCAAGTTTGCTGCACATGCAGCATATCTGCAAGTGACTCGTCAGCCAGGATTGGAGCCTACTTCCATCCATCGAACAAATCTTCGGCTGCCAACTAAACTGGGGAACTCTACATCGCCATGTGAATTCGTGGAAAATGTGTTCCCTCGCTGAATCTACAGGATTCAGGAAAACTACCGAACAGAAGGTGTGGGAGTCTGTACAGCAGCGTCCCTTTGGGCTGGTCATCAGCGAAGTCGGCTGCCGAACACCTGGCAGAGATGCGACTTTTGAATTAAGATCTGACAGCTTACATGACCGCCTCGCCCAAGCCCAGTTTTGCATGGAAACTGAAGTGCCGGATTTGAGCAGACGTGGACAACTTTCATATGCTGTGGGTTTTGCGAGTGAATGCTTGACCCACCCCCCCCATGCGCACTCTTCAGTACAATCCAGTTCTGACCAGGCGCAGAGCAGAAGCTGAACGAGGAGGAAAAAGAGGATACAGCCTAAGTAATGAGCACCTCTACGTTGTGTGAAGCATTTGCTGCGACGCTATGCGGCGCTATGAGGCAGAGGATGCTGTCACCCACACCTCCAAGAGGCCTGGCATCCTCAACGGGAAGTGAAGCCACTTGCTATCGTAGCCGCTGCCAGCCTTCTTGACACAGGGTGGAGGAAGCGGTTGCTCGTGAAGCCAGTGCAGTGGAGAAGCTCAAGGCTCATCACTTATGCATAGGATCAGAGCAGATTTGATTTCTCGGGCACCTGCCTTGGCCTCACCTGCAAAGCAGGCTGCAAAGCTTGCAAAAGCTGAAGCTGCAGCGGCAACCCACAAGGCCGGAGCTGGCACTGCGGGCACCTTTGAACGGAACTGTTGTAGGCTGCTGCCGGCCGGGAAGAACTCGAGAAGACGGCGCCGTCTCAAAAGGCAACGCTTTAAAATGGTCTTTGATGCGGCTGGATTGAGGTCAAGATTCTTGAGCTTCATATGGAGGGCAACCAGAAGGCGCCGTGCAAACGTGTGGTTTGTGGAGTTGCGATGTAAGTGCTGCGTCTGCAGATTCTCCAGATCTCTTTTGTATCTTGTTCGTACCTGTCAGCTCGAAGAGCTGAAGCAAGCAAAGAAGAATGCCGCAGAGGCTGTCGAGGCCGCGAAGAAGGCGGGGCCACCCAAGCCAGAAGTTTGTGCAGAGATTTCTCAAGTCTGCGAAGAAAGGGCTGAACGACGCAGGCCGCTGATGAGGCGAAGAAGAAAGAAAAGGAGCTGATGGAGGCGCTTCCGCCACAAATCAGACCTTGTGTGGCCCGGTGTTTGATGTGGAGGCTTCCAAGGTGGCACTCCAGGAGCAGAAAGAAAAGGCAATGGAAACCTTGAGGCACGGGAGGTTAGGGGGATATGACCTCAATTAATGTACCTCAATAATGGAGAATGACATGGAACATGAAATGGATAATGACATGGAGATTTCCATATGTAGCGTTACATAGGATTATTCTGGGTTTTATGGGATATTGATATTATCCCAATAGTGGAGAACCAAAAGGAAAATAACATGGAACATGAAGTGAACACTGCAGTTATTTTAGGTTTTGGGGTTTGAAGGCCCTTCAAACCCTAAACCCTGAAATAACATTATCCCCAATATTGTAGAATCAAATGGAAAAGAGAATGGAACATGAAATGGAAGCGGGTTTATAGGATATGGAGCAGTTTTCAAAATTACACTTGCGGCTATGGTTTGCAGGGTCCATGCACTTGGAACGCAGCCTTGTGCGAATCTTGCCACGCGATGGATGCCTGCGCATGTGACCGTCTTTTTCGGATGGACGGTGAAACCCCAGCGCTTCAAGTTGTGGGCTGTTGACAAGTACCTGACATGGCATCAGACAAGGTTTGGTTTTTCAATTGGTTGGACTGCCTCTGCAGGCAATTGCCTGAGCACGAAATCTGCTGGTGATCTCGTTGCTCAACTGATGCTTGCGAGACGGCTTTTGCTGTCAGAAGATGCTTGCATGACGCTTGTCATGTCATGTGGGTATAATGTGGCGGAAACATCCTGCAACATCTGGCCTCAGACGCGCTTGCTGATGTTTTTGGGCAGAAGCATGTGCACACGGAGGGGGGTAGCAGGCACCGCTGGGCGTGTTGATTTTTGCCAGAAGCATGTGCGGTGGGGTGGGGGG